GTCAAAAGTCAAGCAAAAATTGGACTGATATTGGGCACTATTTCAAGCACAATTTTTTGAGACGTAAATTGTACCTATAGCTCGTTCGATATTCGCGCACTGAGGTGAGTATGCTGGGCGTAGAACCTACGCCCAGCATACTCACTGAACGAAGCCTATAACTCCGAAGTTATTCGAGCACTGTTTTTTCTTTTTGGGCACCGTTTGGCACTATTTGGGAACTATTTTTTGAAGTATGAATTATGTTTGAAGCGTATACAGATTCTCCGGACGGAGGTGAGTATGCTGGGCGAAACCTTCGTCCAGCATACTCATCGAACTATGGCTATAACTTCGCAAGTACAAGAGCACTATTTTTTTCCTTTGGGCACTATTTAGCACTATTTCAGAACAGTTTTTTGACATTCATGAAATATCAGGATTCCATGGTGAGTATGCTGGACGAAGGGACACAAACTTCGTACCGCCTGTATTTTTTTCATAACATAACATAACATCACGTATTTTATCCCCGAAGGGGTAGGCAGAGGTGTACATTATGCAATGTAACACATAGTTTTCACTATTTATGTTATGAGTCCCATGTAATAGACTCACCCTATTGCCATATACCGGACACATTTCCAGACTCCGTGCTACTACTGAGATTTTTTTTAAAAAACCCAGTAATACTTTGCCCGACACGGGAATCGAACCCGAGATCCCTTGCCCGGCAGTTGCACTTACGACCACTCGGCCAACTAGGCAGTCTATATATTAATAATGGAAGAGGTTCTTATGTCTACACTGCTTTTAACGCCTGTTACAATAGGTATACATAGGATGAAAAGTGGGCATTACCTACAATCTAGGTCCCATCTAGGTCCTAGATGGTTTATTTATATATGTGTTACCGGAGCTCCGGCTCGACGTGCAGGAGAAGGAATGGGGTTTTTAGTCAATAAGACTCACCGAGGCGGGAGCAGTCAATCGATGATTTTCCCCCCTTAAAGAAAATTCTTTGATTCCCCAACGTGTTATGTTATACTTAATATTCGAAATAGACAATTAACTTCCAATGCGGTAGTTAGTTCAACAGGAACTGCATTGCGAAGCAGGTTCCTAGGAAATTGCCTTCCGTTCCTTGAAACAGTCACATGTCGTTATAGGTAGGCGCAGAATTCTTGGCTATCAGATTGTTTTCTTTCCCATTCCTACAATATTTATCAAGACATCATCATCATGCACCGTTTCTAGGTAAGCTTCAAATCGTGGTAAGCGAGGCGAGTTACTCTATGTCCTTTTTAAATAAAGCAAAGGTTCATTTTACAATAACAGCACTATGTATACAGCTGTGAATGGTTGCGCCAGCGTAATTCGTCTGATGGAAATCTAATATTTAAATTATATCTTTTTTATATAGATATCTAATGTTAGGGTTGAACAGATGAATCATACATTACATACATTACTGTATTTATGTATGTATGTATGTATACAATACTGTATACAGTGGCGGGCATCTGCCCACGACTTCGTCCGCGTGGAATAGTGTCTTTGGATAGTTCTTTACAACTCCTCCCCCATAGGTGATAGCGTGATAATATGTAACCTATATGTTGACCTGGCATGTTAGTAATATTCATGCAAAATTTGAAGTAAATCTATGCAGTGCTCTTTGAGTTTAGCCCGGACATACATACAGACAAACAGACAAACATATAAAAATTCTAAAAACTATATTTTTCGTTTCGGTATCGATTGCAGATTATGCCCCAAGTATTTATTAAAAAAATATTGAATGTAAAGTTTTGACGTTTGATGATTTTATTATAATGTATAGATATAAGAAGATTTATGTAGGTATAGACATAGGTATATACTTTAATACATAATATTTCAAGTGTGGGAGAGCCATCCTTCGGCACGAATGGGACGGCTCGACCGGAGTGATACCACGGCCTCACAGAAAACGACGTGAAGCAACGCTTGCGTTGTGTTTCGTCGTGTGATTGAGGTTACCGGAGGCCCAATTACCCTCCCCTTCCCCAATCTCCCCAATCCCCAAATGGCCGGTAACGCACTTGTAACGCCTCTGGTGTTCCAGGTGTCCATGGGCGACACCGATTGCTTACCAAAAGGCGAAAAATAACAGTACAAGTTTGAACATGTAGAAAGGATGGATGAAAGTAGAATAATGAAAGAAGTATCCAGAGCGGACATGAATAGGGCCGTCGGTAGAGGGCGCCCTAGACGGACATATACGAACCAGATTGACGATATATTAAAGAAAGGCCAAATTAAAAGTACCCGTAACTGACGAGCATGCATAAAAAGCCTAATGATTGTTGATGAAGCGAAAGAGGTATGTATGAATCGTAGCAATAGACTACATATGCATGTAACATGATTTTAAAAGTATAAAAAAACACACTAAATATATTTTTCCAATTTTAATATTAGTTTAAAGCTGTTTTATGAAGTATTCGTATCAGATACTACATAATATTCATAAGGATCCGCCTTCGGTACGCAATATTTCTCTAAAAATCTCTTCGTGTTCAGTGTTATCCATCTGTAAGATAATAAAATTTACCTAATAATTAGATATAAAATGTAGATACCTAATAATGATATTTTTTCTATTCCGAAGGAAGGTATTAAATGTAACATCCATTTTAACCAGTCATGTTATAAATGTTATGCAATAGGAGGTGTCCCTGTTACAATACACCACGTACAATTCCAAACTCCGTGCTTCTACAGAAATTTTGGTAAAACTGAAAGAAACCTCAGAGTACTTTGTACGACATGAAAATCGTCCGAGTCCGCATCACTCAATGACGGAAGCAGTTCGTTTGTCTAAAATGTCTGCACCTCCATAATGTTAATATTATCCTATTGGAGATAAATTTTAAAGTCATAAATACACATGCCTTTACATTTGTTAGAGTTTTTATCGTTTGCTGTAAATACCTATAATGTTACGACAGTTTAAAGATACGAGTTTAAGATGTGAAAAAAAAAAATAGTTAGGTAGATAGTTAGATACCTAATTTCATTGTTATAGAGAATTGAAAATTTTCTACATAGAGGGTCTATGTAGAAAATTGTCAATGCCTGGTAGAAAATGTCATACATATGGGGTTAAGTCCGACTTATGTGCTTTAATTTTTTTAATAAACATTGGCCCCCATTCTTTGTTTCATGCACTTCATGAAGTTTAAATGAATAAATAAAATAGATAAAAAATTTCACAACTAGTATAACTAGTTTGATTCTGTCGAACTGTGCTGGTACCTATCATAATAGGTACTATATTAACATGAAAGTCAAAGTCAAAGCATTTATTTCAATTAAACCATAATTTGGTACTTTTGAAACGTCAACAAATACAAAATAAATAATAGTCTGTCTGTCAGTCAGCCCGTCAGTGAAGCTAGAAGAAGCTAGGTAAGTAGCTAGTAGGCTCAGAGTTTATCAGGTTATTACTGTGAAGTAAATATTTATTAACTCCATCATCACAAACACATCTGACAATTTGCTATATGTGGAATATACCAGCATTAATTACATATTACAAGAACCGGTGAGGACATATGGACAGAAAATTACCGAGATTATGTCATATTAGTCACATTTAACAAGTATTAAAGCATTCCAGTTCTACAGTGATATTAATAGCTGCAGGTAGTTTAATTGTTATTTACCTTTTTGAATCCTCGAAGTCTTAAGTGCTTAATCACTTAATGGAATATCCATTTTTTATCTGGACAGAGACCGCGCTACTAAAGATATAGAGAGAATTTTTTGAAAAGTCAAGAAATCTCCAATTACTACTTTGCTCGTCTTGGATTAACTCGTGACCTGAATGCATTTGCAAATACCTGAGACCTCTGAATGACTCTGGATGTGGAATAGTTTAGAATCACAAATAAGCGAATAACACGTTGGCTACTTTTTCCTGATAGCACCGATTAAGCCGCTGGCAGAAGCTAATGAGACAAGCTCGTCCATCCCAAAATCCTCCCAAAGGCTGGGGTGTCCCAGGGACATGAATAACTGTCTTAGATCCTTTCTGTTTTATTTGTGATTCAGAAGTTAGTTTAAAATACCTGTTAAAGTAGGAAATGTTGCTAAAGATGGCGATGTGTGGTTCTTCAGTACTAGAGCCACCATAGGACAGCATGCCAACGACCACCTGTCTGTCGTACACGGCTGGACCGCCATTGTCGCTCAGACGACGTTCCTGGAAATTAAGTACTACACAGGTTAATGACCGTCACTTGACCTAGAACTTATACGTTCCAATTATATGTGAACATGTGAGCGACTGAGAATCTTTGGTTAAAATATAGGACGTAATTGGAATCGTGGCGTAGCGTTAATCTGGGGCATCTACTACGTGTGATGTGGCATTATTGAATTTAAATATTGTCTATCTATATAAATACAAATGAATTTCCGTTCGTTAGTCCCGCTAAAATTGGAGAGGGGTTGAAATGATTTGGCTAATTTTGGTCTAGAAATGTTCGTGGAAGTCCAGGGAAGGTTTTAAACGGTGAGAAAAAAATACAGCCGGTACGAAGTTTGCCAGGTCAGCTAGTTTTGAATAAAATTATTATTGCACTTGCATACCTACTTAGTAAGAACTTAGATAGAGCGGCGTGAATTGAAAAGAACGCACTGTATAGTCATTAATAATTATAAATAATGTTTTAAATTACTTTCGTATTTTTTTTAACAGGGGAAAATCATTGAATGACTTCTCTCGCCTGGGTGAGGTGGGAGGGAGTGTCAGATTCTTACTGACTAAAAGTCACCCCGTTCCTACTCGTGCACTTCGAGACGGAGCCCCGGTAACCCGTTAGGTTCTCCGCGAAAATTACTTTTGTATTGGAATTAATATTGTATACTTATTTCCCTTTCATTTAAAACAATGTCCACGAATGCAATGCACCCCGCATAAACCAGAGAAAGTACGAAGTCAACAATGTAAGTACAGATATACAAATGTACATAAATAAATCTAGGTACTGTATCCTTTGTGCTCTCTTTAGAATAATGTGTAGGTATGTCTGATTAATCAGTCGGTGGGAAAAACCTTGGATGTGTTATTTCGTTGACGTCAGAGCTGGGTTTGAAATAATTTAGTTGTATCTTTGCTTTCTCTCTTTTAGTTAATATTGTACTGGATTTATTTAGGAACCGTTGCTTTTTTATCGCTCGCGCTGAAATACTCAAACGCTACTGTTTTTTTAAGCCGCGCTTAAGTATAGTTCTGTCACACAAATTCTTTTCTTAAATGACAGAGATGGCACGATATTTAAGTACATAATAAAATTGAGTAGCCTTTCAGTATTCGGGCGTAAAAGTGACAATAAAGAAGCCCACATCAAGTGTCTTTTTACAAATACTGTGTCAACTACCACCCAGAGTTTTGCTCAAAAGTAAGCTCTATTTTATGGTAAATAAAATATACTATATTTTATTTTAATGTTTTTTAATGTATTTTTTTATCTTATAGACTGCTTTCATCATCGTCATAAAGAGTTCGCGATTAACAGAAAAGCTTAAAGGATATCCATACGTCCTACGTCGTGACGTCACAGAATACTTTTTCTTTTTTGTGTACCCTATTATAGAAGTGCAAGCAATTTTATAGATTTTACAGGTTTGTATACTGCGATATAATTTTTCGCCTTCATTTTAGTGTCGTCTTGGCCAGTGTCCAAGTTCCGCACACTGAGGTACCATTCAAGCTCTTGGCAAACGTATCTCGCTGTTATTTCTTTTATATTTCTTGTATGATTTAGCATGTTTTGATAAATGCAGTTCTTTAAAGCTGTTACAGATGCATACAAAGATGTGAAAGGATTCATGATTGCAATATTTTTTTTTAAATGTTTAGAGAAAAATAAGTCTGTATTTTTATGTCAAAAATACAATCACATGATAGATTTGGGATTATTTATTAGCTCTCAAATTGGCTTTAATCTAGGTATTGGAAAAAAATATCGTTGCTTACCGGAGGATATTTGGCACAGAAATTGGATGGCGTTAAAAGGTGTTTGTAGTACTTAGCGCATTCTTGTTTTTCTATTATAACCATTTCTGTCCATAGTAACTGGTTAACGTACGTCTGGGGCAAGTTCTGGAATTGTAAGAAAATAAGCAGTAGGCAAAAAAAGGCGATGGCTTATAATTCTTGTATTGATTTTCTATTTTTCTTTTTTTTAAATTGCCTCACTCTAGGATTTTCTCCTGTGTCGTGGGTGCATTTATAAACGTACAAGTTCATTTACACATGACACCCAGACCCGGAACAACAATCTGTGGATCACACAAAGAGTTGTTCCATGCGGGAATCGAGCCCGCTACACGTTGCTCGGCAGCCAGTTGCACATCAGTCACGCTCCAACAGAGCAGTCAAAAAATTTTATGGATACCTATATAAGTCGTAAATTAATTAAGATTACGTACGGCTTGGGGTACACTGTGTACCGTACACAGTATATTAAGAGAGGAGTTTTGAAAGACGTTCTAATCATCTGTACCTACTATATCTTCACACATAACAGTGATAGGGTAGACACCCTCCACAATCTACTTTTATAATGGTATTCAAATATTTGCTCCAAATACCGATGACGTCACTATTCTTCAGTGACATCCAAGAAAAGTGTTATCTATACCCTTACTTATGTGACTATTGGACTAGTACCTAGGTGTGTATATTGTGTAGTATTTTCATAGATAAAGTTTGGTTTTTGACGAATTAAAAATTAATCAATGCAATTAATCAACATAACTTATTCGTCTAAAATGGAAGGTTGAAATGTAGGTAGGTACTTATATTTCGAAAACATACTAAGTAAACTAATAGGTACCTAAGTTATTTAACAGTTCAAAATTAACAGAACCAAGTAACATATCTATTATAATAATGATTTTGCCAGAGTTGTAACTCTCTGTTCTCAGAGCGTCGAGTTACTCTAGTATGGTTACTTCTCAGAAATTCTCCCTTGGTGATATTATTATTTGTGAAAGTTATCCAAGTTATAATATATTAACGCGAAATCGAACCCCAGTGACTGATTAATATTTGATTGGAGGGGTCAACGTCTCGCGGTCGCAGTTCTAACCAACGATAACACAAATTATTTAATTAAGAAACACGCCATCTATCGGTTTGCAATTGCATTCATTCGGAAGCTAAAGTTATCATTCAGAACAGAATACACTCGTAGAGCCCATTTAGTTCGTTAAGTTGCCGTCGACGGCGTTTCTAATTGGTCGGTTACAAGGTAGATGGCGTTCGAACAAAGTTTCATTAGGAGTGCAAACTTTTCAAATACCGAGGCAAAGTATAGCAATATACTGCTATATATCAATCAATCAATTTATTTATTCAGATAATAAAATCCATATGGTTAGTAAAGACATATACAACTTATAAACTAATATTAGTAGACACATAAAACCTCATCATATAAAATTAAAATAATTTGTCATAAATATTATACAGTAACAATATAAACGACTTTCGCTACTTCTGGGCACGGTTTGGAGGCAACACTTGCGACTTCGTCCAGTGTTTTAACATAAAGCTATCAGTGCTATCCTCGCACCCGCTGCATCAGGGAAGCGACACGCTTTCTTATGATTGCATAGAAATCATCTATGCGTGCATCAGTGAACATCCCCGATGCGCTACAGTGTCGAGGCAGCCTCAACAGTGCCCTGTACTCGTTATTAAATTGTACTCGTAAGGCGCTGTAAGCCCTCTGCGTGTAGTCGACTCATAGGCTGCCTGAAAAGTGTAGCCTTCACATCATAAGAACACTTCACAAACCTGCGGATCAGCATAATTATAGCTCCTAACTGATATATACGTAACCCACGATGATACAAAGCTAAATAAAAACGATAACACTCACAGTGTTGCCCCATCCTGACACTTCTATGGTGAAACCATGTCCTAGAACAATTTCAGGCTCCACAAGTACTGCCTTTTTCACAATTGGGCTAAAAAGCACGTGTTCCTGCAAAAGTACAGATGTCTAAATAAGATTCCAAAAAATAAAAAATAAAAGAATAACATAACATCACGCCTTTTTATCTCCGAACTGGTAGGCAGAGGTGTACATTACGGCACTTAATGCCACTGTACAATGTAACACCAACTTTTCACTATTTATGTTATGAGTCCCCTAGGAGGTGAGCCCATTTCCATATACCGAGAGAGATTGTACTAGATTTTTTGAAAAAGCCCAGTAATACTTTGCCCGACCGAGTCGCAACGAGGCAGTCAAAAAAAAAGAAAAGTATTAAAATTGTTTAACTTTCAATTGAAATTGTTTTTTGGTCAGCCATGTTAGAAGTCCCTTGTAATTTATGGGCACACCGCTATTAATTAAAAGGATTATTTTAGGCATCTCAGGAATTTAATGCAACGTGCAGGTAGGCAACGAGTTGAACTCAGTCCAGTCCTTATTCTATCGCAGTCAATGTTTTTTATATTCAACGATTTTATCAATAAACGAAGATTCGATTTTTCCTGAGATCGATGAAAGTAATAGCTCTACAAATAGGAGGTGTATACTTTTACTCTAGTTAGACTATTACTATTAACTCGTCGAGTACCGGTTTTGTAGACACAATTATAAAACAATAGGTTGCGGTCACCGGTGACCGCTTGGTGTTTGACAGTTTAAAAAGTCTAGTTCTGCTACTTAAAGAGGAAGCTCGTATTATCTACCTCTTTATCAGACAAAATGCAAGATTAAGTGTGGGAGAGCTATGCTTCGTACCGATAGTGCCGGCTCGACCGGAGTAATACCTCGGCCTCACAGAAAACCGACGTGAAGCAACGCTTGCGTTGTGTTTCGTCGTGTGAGTGAGGTTATCGGAGGCCCAATTGCCCTCCCCTTCCTCAATCTCCCCAATTCCTGAATCCCCAACGATCCCCAAACACCTAATCCCCAAAAGGCCGGTAACGCACTTGTAACGCCTCTGGTGTTCCAGGTGTTCATGGGCGACGCCGATTGCTTACCATCAGGTGATCCATCTGCTCGTCTACCGGTTTATGCCATAAAAAAGAGATGTTTTCCTGTGGCCAATAGTATTTTTGTTACATTAAAACACGTGTTCAGCTAAACTTAGTTTTTGTAAAACATAGTCGTCAGGTAATGTAAATAAACATCGAAATGAGAGGGTGTTAATATTGGTATTAGGCACGCTAGGACATGAGTAATTGGCACACCCTGTCTGCTGACACTGTTTACATTTTACGATACTGTTGACCTGTAATATTTAGAGGTTTTTAAAACGTATTAAACGAGATTAGCCTAGCGTCCTACGGCTAGCGTTTGAGCCTTGACTTTAATACCAATAACGAGTGTTTTCTAATTAATTATTTTACGATCCGTTTAATAGAAAAAAGTTATTGTAACTTGCAACAATCAAGTTTTCATAAATAAGAAATTCGACTAGATACCGTGTTTCATCCCTTTTACAAAGGTCCTTAACTTTGCCTACAGTGAAACATGACATAACATTCACGTCTATAATTTCTAAAAATACTTGAAATTACAAGCAGAGATCTGGATTTAAGATTATCCATATACTGTTCTAAGAGCAAGTCGTAATAAAAGTGGATTAGCTAATACCTGCCGCAGGTGAAAAAACTACATCTTCCATTATTAATTAAATGCATTAGATACATTCCATTCTCTAGTGTTCCAACGGTTATTGCTAGCCGTAAAGCTCGAAGGTCAAAGACCTCTGATATAAGGGATTTGTGCATTTTTGCAGCTGCAAGAGTTTCCGATTTCTTCATTTTGTTATTCGAATATGAATTTTCGTGGTTTGGTTTAGAGTTTCGTTTTATTTGCTGTATTTGTGGCTGTGAACTAACAGGACAGTGAAGTTTGTCTTTTGACATTTCGTTCGTTTTGTCTTTGTGATAAGTTGCACATATGAAATTTCTGAATGTAATATATACTCATGACTATATTTTCTTTTTTATTATGAAAACAAATTAAGTTTCAATCTCAACATTCAGTGTACTAAAGAGTAACGTTATAACCATTATATTGAATACTAAAGTTCATTTCACTGTACACAGGTGAGGGTACTGTCTTTCAATTTGATTTAATCCCTTAAGAACCACTTACGATCCCCACAGGAATACTGCGAGATGTCAAGGAGCAACTATGTGGAACGAGAAGCCGATACATTGTTGTTGGGATAATATGCACATAATATAAACGTAATTAGGTTGCAATTAGTAATTGAATCTGATGTTATAGATGGTTAATTTGTAATGTGTAGGTACAGGTAAATAGAGATGTGTGATACCCTGTATTGTTATGAGTTCCATGAATAAGAAAATTATTGTTATACACCGATTTTAGCATCCTTTTTAATGATAATTTCAAACACAAAACCTATGGAGGTTTTGTGTTCTAATGAAGGAATTAGACCGATACCTATAATCGAAAAAGAAACTTCTTGCTTCGGAAGTTCTTTTCCTTATTCTGTTTTTTTTGGGGTAAACGTGTTCTAGAGTGGAGACCGTGTCTAGGCAAACGTAGTGTAGGGCGCCCTCCAGCTAGGTGGAGTGACGACATCCGCAAAGTGGCTGGCAGTGGTTGGATGAGAAGAGTTGAAGACCCAGCTCAGTGGCGTGCCATTGGAGAGGCCTATGTCTAGCAGCAGAGGACGAATACGGGCTGATGATGACGAACTTTTTTTTCAAACATTCGACAAATGAGGCATTTAACTATTCTACAATCTTTCATTTAAAAAGATGTACAAAAATAATAGATTGATACCTAACAGAACAGTTTCATTGTTAGATAAATAAAATAGGCTTTCAGCGTCTGGCAAAGAATAATAGAATATCCTAAAATTAAGGGATCACGTACACCTTTATTGGTTTATCATCGAAAGTAGGTACGTAATGTACCCGTATTACTCACAACGGGTCGGTATAAATAAATATATTATGATTCTTGTCTCTTTATACTTATCTGTCTATTCATCTTTATTTCTGAATTCTAGTGGCACCGGCTAGGCATCATCATCATCTTCAACAACTGCCTGAAGACGTCCACTGCTGGACAAAGGCTTCCCCCTTAGTCCTCCACATCGAACGATACTCGCCACCTGCATCCACGGGTAATTATACCGAAATACTACTTACAATTATTATAACGGGGTCCGGACAATCGTAGGTTTTTACATAATATAACATCACACCTTTTCATCCCCGAAGGTGTAGGCAGAAGTGCAAATTACGGCATTTAATACCACTGTGCAATG